AGATCTGGGTTCGAGTTCATTCCAGCAGGGTCTAGATTGATTCATTTAGGAAATTTCTGGGCAACCTTTTCAGAGAACCCGCTGGAGGCTGCTGACAAGCCTACTGTAAACATTGTTCACAGTGCAAGTCCCGCTTCTGAGAGCCAGTTTGGTGTAGTGGTTAGGAGCATGGACTAATCTGGGAGAACTGGGTTTGATTTCCCCACTCTTCCCCCCCCCCATGCAGCTGCTGGTGTGACCTTGGGTCAGTCACAAGTTCTCTCAGAGCTGTTCTCTCAAGAGCAGTCCTCGAGAGAGCTCTCTCAGCCCCGCCTGCCTCACAGGGTGTCTGTTGTGGGGAGGGGAAGGAGATTGTAAGCCGCTCTGAGAGAGACTCCTTCGGGTAGTGAAGGGCGGGGTATAAATCCAATCTCTTCTTTTTCTTCCTTCTCCTTCCCCAGCCAGAAAGTAAGACATGCCCCTGGTTTTCTCAGCCCTCCATCTCCCACCTCCCAGCCCTTCTGTAATACAAGATGGGTGGCCATGTTCATCTGTCTGTAGCTGTAAGAAAAGAGCAAGAGTCCAAGTAGCGCCTGAAAGGCTAACAAAAATTGTCGCAGGGGAGGCGCTTTCGCGAGTCACTGCTCGCTTCTTCAGATGCAAACAGGCATTGGAGCGAATCGCGGGACGGGCGGGTACGCGGGAGTCCGTTTGTGGCTGCAGCAGGCTTGCCAACTTCCAGGTGGGAGCCTGGTGTTTCCCCTGGAATTACAATCTCCACAAAGAGCGATTCCCCTGGAGGAAATGGCAACGTCGGAAGGTGGACTCTGTGGTTTCACATCCTCACGCTCCCTCCCTTGCCCATAGTATTGCCCCCCCCTCCAGACCTGCCCCCTATATCGCCAGGAATTCCCCAACTGGGACATGGCCACCCGAGGCAACACATCCAGCGTCGGAGCGAACATGCAATGAATGAAGCTGAGCTGGGGAGGGGGGAGGAAGGAAGGAAGGAAGGAAGAGGCCGAGGGAGGCTTCCTGCTTCTGCCATGGGCGGGGCGCCCAAACCAGTTGAGGTATGTCTTTTCTGGAAGGGCGACTCCCTTTCTCTCTGCTGGCGGCAAAGACACTGGAGCCTGCCAGAAGGATTGGACAGGCTGTTACTAATGGGCCATAAAAGCCCAAGGCATGGCTAGAGGGGGGGGGGGGAGAACCTTTTCTACCGAAGCCCCTTCCCCATTGAGAGTGAAGCAACAAACCTCCCGGACCTTTCGTTTTTCCCGTTAGATTCCCCCCTGTCCAACTTGGGGCCCTGAAAGTGGACAAGAGTTCTGTAGGGCCCTTCTCTCCTTTAAGAGGACCCCCTGGGGGTTAGGGGTCAGGGGATGGGGTTTCTGCCCTTCCTCATAACAAACAAAAGTGGAACAAATTCAGGGGGGGAAAGTAAGCGATCATATGCGAGTGTTGCAATTTTCCGAGGGTGCAAAGATAACCTCTTCTTTGTACAGCTAAGATCTGTTGTGACTCCCAGACGTCAGTGTTCCCTCTAAACTGGACTAGTGTGAGCCAGCTCACAGTTTTTTAGCCTCCGGCTCACAGATTTTTTTTGCCTTCGCTCAGGAAGGAGGGCTCCAGAGCAGACTAAATTTATGCAGCAGCCAAATCGCTCACTCACAACTTTAATGCCAGGAGCTCACAACGTAGAATTTTTGCTCACAAGACTCCCCAGCTTAGAGGGAGCATTCATGTTTAACTGGCACCAGCACCAAGTGATGGGGTGTACACAACAGGGAGGCAATGCCGTTGTGTCTCTTAGAGGAAGGAGATGGGACGGGGGACTTCATAAGACCCTGGAATAACGGTTAGAGAGAAGAGCGTTTGAGAGGCCTGGATTCAAATTCCCACGCTGCCAAGTTGTTGAGTTAACAATGGGTCAGTTACATGGAAGCTTAAGCTAATCTACCTCGCAAGGTTGTTGTGAGGATAAAGTAGGGAAATGGTGCCACGTGGACCACCATGAGTTCCTTGAAAAAAGAAAACTAGAGAGGTGGGTTGATCCGGCGGGAGCAGAGACGTGCGGAGCAAATGCTGGCTCGGGGCTGGTGGTGAAAAGGCGGGGCTCTGGGAGAAGGAAATTGAGGAGGTGGTTTGAAGAAGAGAGGGGAGGGGCGGCTGTCCTAAAGAAAGGCGTGGCCATAAAGCTGGGGGGATAGAAAGGGGCGTCCGTGGTGAGGGGTGTGGCGGAAAGGCCGGCGTTAGTGCCTTGCAGAGAAAAGACGGTTAGAACGACCTCCAGGGCTTTTGGGGGTAAAACGGAAAGCTGCCTTGGCCACAATTCTCGATGCGCGCCCAGCTTGAGAAGAATATTCTCTCTTTGACTGCCACGTCATGCTCACTTCCTGTTTCCATTTGCAAGTAGCTCTTCGGGTGGGTGACTGTGCAGCGCTGCCTGTAGTGGGGGCTCGGCCTGGCCATGCGTGAGGCAATGGCAGCCTTGCAGATAGAGGCCCGCAAGCTCTCAGAAGCCTCACATGTCCAGTATTGGGCACTTGAGGCCCGTTGACGGTTCAGAAGGGGAAAACAAAGGTGCATGAATTTTTCGCTTTGTGAGAGTTGTTTGTATGGTCACCTCAGAGCGCTCTGGATTTGGTGGGGTGTTATCACCGTTCTGAGCCACAAGCGCTCAGAAGCCTCACACAGCCAGTCACGAGAACATAAGAAGAGCCCTGCTGGATCAGACCACTGAGGGTCCCTCTAGTCCCGCAACCTGTCTCACATAGGGACCAACCAGTTCTTCTGGAGGGCCAGCAACAGGGCAGAGAGGCCCGAGGCCTTCATAGGAACATCAGAAGACCCCTGGCGGATCAAGCCAGTGGTCCACCTTGCCCAGTATCCTGTCTCACACAGGGGCCAGCCAGTTCCTCTGGAGGGCCAACAACAGGGCAGAGAGGCCGAGGCCTTCCCCTGAGGTTGCCTCCTGGCTCTGGGATTCAGAGGATTAGTGCCTCTGAATGTGGAGGTTCCCCTCAGCCACCACAGCTAGTAGCCACTCATAGACTTATCTCTCCTTATATATAATTGAATAGTGGGTGCCAAAGTTCTAATTCTAAAATGCACTCCCTTAGTGTATGGCTGATGGAACTGCTCCTCAGCATATATCGCCACCAATCAGAAGGCAAAGCCCGGGTCCCGCCCACACCACAACTGCTGCGACAACCTGGTCTTTTGCATATGGAAGCTGATTGGACTTCACTCCATTCCACACCTCAAACTCCCGCCCCCGGCAAGGCAGTTAGAATGTCAGTTGCATATGGAATCTGCTGTATTCTGGTGGTGTGCAGGTCCCAGATTCATGTTTTAAAAGCAGACTGACACTGTTCGCCCAAAGCCAGAGCACTCTCCCAGAGCCTCTTTCTAGATCCCGTTGTACTTATTTCCACAACGGGCCTTATTTCTAGTCCTCCATAAATCTATCTAATTCCCCTTTTAAAGGATCACGACGTCCTCTGGCAGCGAATTCCACATTTTAATCTCTCTCTGTGTCAAATAGTCTTTCCTTGTGTCTGTCCTGAACCTACTGCCCATTGGCTTCATCGGATGCCCTCGAGTTCTAGTATTTTGGGGGAGGGAGAAGAAGTTCTCTTTGTCAGCTCTCTCCGCCCCAGGCATAATTTGATATCTATCGTGCTCCCCCTTAGTTGTCTCTTTTCTAAACTGAAAACTCCCAGACTCTTCCGCCTTTCCTCCTAGGGAAGGTGTGCCAACCCCCTCATCATCTTGGTCGCCCTCCTCCGCAAAGTCCCTTTGGAGATAACGGTGGCCAGAACTGTACACAGGATTCCCAATGAGGCCAGACCATAGATATATACAATATTGGCCGTTTTATTCTCAGTCCCTTTCCCCTTGAGCCCTGCTGAAGGGAAAAACAAAGGCAGGTGAATCTTCTGGTTTGTGGCACTTGTCGGGCCTAGGCGCCTGAGAACAGTCTGCAGTGTCCGTTGCGTTCTGTCACTTGTTCGTGAGGTTCATGGGAAACGGAGCCCTGGCCCTTGTGATTGTGTTCAGCTGGGAACCGGGAGCAAAGGCAGAGAAATGGGGACAGACTAAGTGAGAAAAGCGGCCCAAGGTGCTTGGGGAGGCCAAGATGTAGGTGCTTGGGGGGCAACCCTGGGAGGGCGTCTGGAGTTCTGGCCCCACTAGTGGACCTCCTGATGGCCCCTGGGGTTTGGCCACTGTGTGACACAGAGTGTTGGGCTGGATGGGCCATTGGCCTAATCCAACATGGCTGCTCTTATGTTCTTATGTCTGAGGCAGTGATACTCTGTATTCTTGGTGCTTGGGGGGGGCAACAGTGGGAGGGCTTCTGGTCCCCGCTGGTGGACCTCCTGATGACCCCTGGTATTTTTGGCCACTGTGTGACACAGAGTGTTGGGCTGGATGGGCCAGTGGCCTGATCCAACATGGCGTCTCTCATGTTCTAAAGTAAGAGACGACTACATCTCTTGTTACAGTTAACAATGCTCCCTCTAAGCTGTGGAGTCTTGTGAGCAAAAATTCTGCTTTGTGAGCTACTGGCATTAAAGTTGTGAGCGGGCAATTTGGCTGCTGCATAAATTAGTTTGCTCTAGAGGCCTCCTTCCTGAGCGAAGACAAAAATCTGCTAAAATGCCCCCTCTGTGGTGACCAGGCCTATCACGTAATTTTTTAAAATACATTCCCACTTCCTTGTGTGCTCGGACGCCATGGTAGACAGCAGAAGGGTCTTGAGTGAGGAGACAGAACCGAATAGATTGTAAGTGAGGAGACAGAACCGAATAGATTGTGAGGAGACAGAACCGAATGGATTGTAAGTGAGGAGACAGAACCGAATAGATTGTAAGTAAGGAGACAGAACCGAACAGATTGTAAGTGAGGAGACAGAACCGAATAGATTGTGAGGAGACAGAACCGAATGGATTGTAATTTCTCTTTTTTGTTTGTCTCCCCCCCCCCCCCCCCCAATCCAGTCTTGTATGGACTGTGGCGCTCGCCTGCAGCCATGGGGAAGATGCTGTCCAAGATCTTCGGCAACAAAGAGATGAGGATCCTGATGCTGGGCCTGGACGCGGCCGGCAAGACGACCATCCTTTACAAGCTCAAGCTTGGCCAGCCGGTGACCACCATTCCCACGGTGGGCTTCAACGTGGAGACGGTGACCTACAAGAACGTCAAGTTCAACGTCTGGGACGTGGGGGGCCAGGACAAGATCCGGCCCCTCTGGAGACACTACTACACCGGCACCCAGGGGTTGATCTTCGTGGTGGACTGCGCGGACCGCGACCGGATCGACGAGGGCCGTCAGGAGCTCCACCGCATCATCAATGACCGGGAAATGCGGGACGCCATCATTCTCGTCTTCGCCAACAAGCAAGACCTCCCCGACGCCATGAAGCCCCACGAGATCCAAGAGAAACTGGGCCTCACTCGCATTAGGGACAGGAATTGGTACGTCCAGCCGTCGTGCGCCACGTCGGGGGAAGGACTCTACGAAGGCCTGATGTGGCTCACGTCCAACTACAAATCCTAATCCTAGGGCTGTGTCACCTAGTGATGTGCGCGCGCGCAGAGTCTCTTTAACCAATGAATCCTAGAACGTATACATATATATATTCTCTTCTGTCTCTTCCCTCACCCACCCACCCCAGCCTCCAAACGTTTTTTGGGGGGTGCAGCAGGTTTTGAAATCTAATAGGGTGCATCGAAACGAATTTTGGCTAGTTGCTTCTGCAGATGTTGGAGCGGTACCGGCAAAAGAGCCGTCTGGGAGAAGCCTTCCTCCCAGTTACCATCGGGAGCTTTTGTGTTTTCCACGGATGGGAGAGAAAATGGGGAAAGGGGGTTGGTTGGTCCCCACCCTTTACCAGGAAGCCACCTGTGAGTGTCAGCTTGGCTTTCCTCTGAACCCCCTCCGCCCCCACGGTTCTCCAACCTGCGGTGACCGAGTAGTGGCCTTTGCCTAAGAGATGAGCTCTGTTGTAGAGCAGAGGTTCCCCAACACGGTGCCCCTGGGCGCAGTGGCGTTGACACCTTTCCAGTCGCACTCCAGCTGTTTCTGGAAAGTGGGTGGAGCTTTGGCCCCGTAAGGCTTCTGATTGGCTGCTGGAGATTTGACGGGCTATGCGGATTTGTAGAAATGTGGCTTTGGTGACCACCGCAGCACGAGGGTCTTCGCTGTGTGACTGAAGGTCAGCCGCGGCGGTGGCCGTTTTGTGGCTGCGCCCTCCATACTGGGGCAGACTACCAAAGGGGCCTGCGGGCTCAAAAATCTGGGGACCCCATTGCAAGGAAGCTGGGGAGGGGGGATTGTAAGCAATTTGGATCGGCTCCTCCGCAATAGCAGAGTTGGTTTTCTTTTTCTTTTCTTTTTTTTAAGGGTCGGGAAGAACTGTTGGGACCATATAAGGCTGAGAATTTTTCTCCATATTAGAGCTCGTCCTCGGATATGGGTTCTGCTTGCTGGATCCCACGGGGACCCGCTTGCATCGTGAGGAAAGTTCCGCCAGCGGCGGAATGGATCCACGGGATCCAATCCCTTTTGCTTTCAGGAGGGGCCTGCCCCATACCGTTCTCTGCCCTTTGTTGCACGCTGTGTGGTTGGGAGGCGCGAAGAGGGATGTCCGCTGGCTGGAACAGCTTGCCTGCGTAGGCCGTGTCCCGGAAACGCTCTTTTGTTGGAACCACCTTCATTTTTTTTTTAATTTTATTTTCTTGGGGCTACCGCAGTCTCCTCTTCTCTCTTGACCTGTTCAACCTGCCAAAGTTGCCTGCTTGCGGTGGGCAGAGCCGTGCACGCCCGACCGAACCAGTTCACCCGGTGTGGAATGGGTGGGATCGACAAAAGCCATTAATCAGAGCTGTGCTCTCTTACACCCTTCCCAAATTCTTCCCCAACGTCTCCCTCTTGGGAGAGGACGGATTCCCGTCTTGAAACGGGGAGGGCGGACGGGAGCCTCTTGAAGTGGGGCGGCTCTGGCTCAGCCCCCCTTTCATTGATTCCCCCCTGCCCCCAGCTTTTGAAGCGGTCTTCTTAGTTCCGTGTCCCTTGGCCGAATACTTGTCTCTTCCAAGCAGGACTGAATCGATGCGGATCTGTTTGGATCCTTTCCTCTCCTTTGTAAAATCTTTCCTCCCCGGCACAAAAATCCCCCCCCCACTTCTGCCTTTACCTTTTGGGATCCCGTCAAGGTGGGCACGCATCACCATGCCACCTGTGCCAGGGAAAGGACTATTAGCCAGCATTCTACCCTCCATCTGCGCCATCCGCTCTCTCGAGCGCCGGTTCAGTGGCTGGAGGCCAATTCCCAACCCTGGGAAACGTACCTTCCTGGTGTGCGTTGAAGGAGAAACACGCTCTGCGGGTTCTCTGTTCCAAGTGGTGGGCGTGGAATATAGGTTTTCGATCTTATTGGCTACGTTGATCCTGTTTCGCCCACAGTGGGATATATGTCTTTTTGGCACGAGTGGAATCTTGGTCACTGATAAAAGCGGGTTTTTGCAGGCCAGGGTCTCTCCTTTCTCCTCTTTGCTAAATGCCTGCTCCCCCCCCCTCCCCCGGAATACTTTGAAGCAAAGTCTAGAGGGAAGCAGGGACCAATTTTAGGTAAGGTTTTCTTATCATCCTATAATATGCCAGTAAAGGCAAGTCAGTTCCTGACTTTCAAATCAAACTGGATGTATTTGGGCTCCCTTCTGCACGGAGTGGCCTGCTCAGGGATTCGTGGTTTCCCCCTTCATCCGCTTTCCCTCTTCCCATCGACCCCCCCAAAAGCTGTGTTCTAACTTTTTAGACTTCCCACTTCCCTTATAATGAAAGTCTGGCTGAACGGGATTTGAGTTCTCACCATATCCATTCATTGTCTTTTGCCAATAAGGACTTGTGCACGTTGGAGTAAGGCAGGTTCTCTCCCTCCCCTGGACACCCCAATGAAAAGACAACCATTTCTCTCGAACAAGCACGTGAAACGCTCTTGTGTCCGATTTCCTTGGTCGGTCGCTTTAGCTTATCGAGATGTGAAGGCAGCAGAGCTCTCAGGTGTGCCCACTTCGGATTTATTTTTTTTAAAATGTGCGTCTTTTGGAAATCCCCAAAGAAAATTGGGCGGGGGGGGGGATTCGTTCTGAAGCATTGCAGGCAGAGAGAGAGAAGAATCTAAGAAACGACAGTGACTCACGCCAGTCGCTGCCAGTGTCCCCTCTAAGCTGTGGAGTCTTGTGAGCAAAAATTCTACCTTGCGGGCTACTGGCAGTCAAGTTGTGAGCGAGCGGGTTGGCTGCTGCGTAAATTAGCTTGCTCTGGAGCCCTCCTCCCTGAGCCGAGACAAAGATGTGTCAGCCAGAGGCTAAAAAACTGTGAGCCAGCTCACACTGACTCAGCTTAGAGGGAACACCGGTTGCTGCCCCCTTAGCTGTTTGACTGACGGGGTTGTGTTTTTTCCCCTGAACTTGAGATCCTTGCAATGGGGGCAATATCCCCACCCCCCGAAATTTCCTGGGCACATCATCCTGCTGCTTGCCTGGATCCCTTTGCGTTTGGGTGTTGATCTGAATAGAAACTTTCAGGCCGTCTTCCCTCTGCAAGAGAAGCAGCCGGGCCAAGTCTTTGAGGGTGGGGCTGTCCTAGCGCAGGAAGATGGGGAGGGAGCTCACACACACACACACGCACACACACCCCGGCCACCACTGTGAGGCCTAGCAAGACTTATAGTGTGCCTCCCTCCTGCCGCCTGGCCCCACTGCCTGGGCGTGAGCACCTCTCGAGAAAGCCTGACTCATAATTCCCACAAGGCGTGCTCTCCCCCCCCTTTCTCCGTGGGAGGGGGGGGAAGTGACTCGAAGGCACGTTTTCGGCAACCGCCTCCCTCTTGCGATTTGGATCGGGGTGTTGCAGTCAGCTTTGGGGTGTGGGGGGGCCCCTCCGTCCCCCGAAATCTTCAGAACTTCCGTCTGCCCTCGCGGCTTCGGTTCCGCTGCACCGTCCCCCTTCCGCCGCTGGCAAACCGGTGCGTGGGTGGGTGGTGGTTTGGCCTCAGTTCCTCCTCCGTAAAATGGGACCCGACTCTCTTACCCCTGCCGTGCGAGAGGGTGGGAGTCTTTCTCCTCTTCCCCCTCCCCTGTTCTGGTTTCTCCTTCCTTCCCCACGGGAGCCGCCGCTGAACCATTCTTTTTAGAAAGGCTCGAGCGACAGAAAATGTACGTCTTAAAAGCGGGGCGTTTGGGGGTGGGGGGTGGGGAGAGTTTGTGGCATTCCCTTTTCCGTTCTCTTGCTTCCCGGCAGACGCTTTCTGTGCCTTTGCACTTTGGGAACCTGGCAATCGTGTTAAATCAGAGGGGAACGCAGTCAGGTGGCAGCCATCTGCTTTGGCGTTCGAGATAATCCCATCGACGGCGCACGGAATGCGGGGGGACCTCTCTCCTACGCCGTTAAGCCAGGCCTCTGCTCCTGCTGATATCCCCCCCCCCATGGCCCAGCCGGCCTACTGCGGGGACGTTGTTTGGGTCTCGATCCCCGCCTCCCACATCTGGGGCTGCTGTTTTCACATGGGTAAAAGAGGGTATTGTGTGTGCTCCCCCACCCAAGGATCCGTGCGCGTGACACAAAAGACAAAAAACTGGCTTGTATCTGGACGGCTTTTAGAATCTCGTGTGGAGGGGGCGTGCTTTCAGGGTATCTCTTCTTCCCAGGGAATTCCAGGCCCCAGTGGCTGCTGGTCCGGGCGAAACAGGGTGGCTGTCTTGGGCGCGCCGCGCATCTGTTTGTCGGTGAAGGCCTCGCACATTGGCTCGGACTTGCGTGTTCCAGTTGCCCCGACTAGGAAATGTATGCATTGGTTGTAATGTATGAAGGCACTTAAATTAACCCTCTCCCCCGCTGGCCGCCAGCGTGTGCGTTGGTGGTAGCTACCAATTTCCACTTCTGTCCCAAATCCACACACACAAGTGTGAAGGGGGGGTGCTTTTAGCTGGGGGGGGCAGCAGTGGTGGTGGAAAAATAGCTGGCCTTCTTTTCGTGCCTTCGATAATGGCTCTCAGTTACTTAAGGGGAAAACAAGGTACTTTTTTGTAAGCCAAAACTGCAGCTGTGGAACTGGAAAACACTGGGTTGGTTTTGTTATTTTTTTAAAAAAGAAAATTTAAGTTTCTCTTTCTCTCCCCTGAATGGAAGAACGGGGGGGAGGGGTTGTATCAGATGCTGATGATCTGCATATGCAAATGTACTGTACATTCTAACGCTGGAATTTCTTTTGAATCCTTTCTGTTGAGGGGTGGGGTGGGGGGTTACACATTTGTGGTTATGGGTGCCTGAGGTTTGGGCGGGGGAACCCTCCCGGATCTCTACAAACAAGGGCTCACTTCATCAAACTGTTTTTGTTTTGTTTTTTAAAAAAAGAATAATAAAATAAAATGATTTTTCCTCCCCCTTCTAGTCCTCATGGAAACGAAAAGCGGTGTTTGGTTTGTTCTTACTGTTCACGTTTTGCCTGACTATGTGCTCCAGCTTTGCCAATTAAGCCGCCCTCCTCCCCATTTACTGATACCCCTCTGCCAGTTTTTTGTGGTTCCAAATGAAAAGAACTGCCAAGTAGTATCACTTTCTTACTGTCCGTTCGCCCTGAAGGCAGCTGCTGCTCTCCTTAGGCGACCAGGTAAGTTGCTGTCAGCTGGGCAGGAGCACCGGTTGACCATCTACAACCGTACCGAGTGCGAGGATGACATTTTTCTTTGCTTCCTCTCCCCCCGCCCCCAGGATTTTGCTTTCCTCCTAGAATTCCTGCTTGCTTCCTCCTTTGGACAAATGACAGGATGGCTCTCTTGAAAGTCTTTGAAGGGCTGTCACCGAGAGGAGGGCAGGGAGCCGTTCCTGCTGGCAGCAGAGGATATAAAACTCAAAAATGGGTTTCAATCACGGGCAGAAAGGTACCGTCTGGATAGTAGGAATTTTTATTTTTTTTTACAGTCAGAGTAGTGCAACAGTAGAGTCAGCTGCCTAGGGAAGGGGGTGAGCTCCCCCTCCCTGGCCGTCTTGAAGCGGCGGCTGGACAAACCCGTGTCAGGGATGCTCTAGGCTGATCCTGCACTGAGCAGGGGGCTGGACTAGATGGCCTCTATTTGCCCCCTTCCGATTCTGTGATTCCATTTGGATTCCAGGGATGCCGTGCCGCAGAAACTGTTTGCTGAGTGTGTTTCTGCTTGTTGGCGCCTCTGCTGAGAGAAGCGGCTGCTGGTGTCTCTAGCCTGGGCAAAGAGGAACAACATGCCGATGTTCCTAGAGGAGATGGTAGCTCTAACCCTCCCCGCCACAGACGCGAAGTTCACCTTCTGGTAGTGAATAGGAAATGCATCATGTGCAGCAGATTCCCAGGCGCTCGGCTTCCACCTTGAGCACGTTGCAGGCCCCAGAATTCACCTGCCAGCTACAGACCTAGAGTGTGGTTCATCTTCATTTCCTCTCCTCTCCGTTGCCTCTTTCTTCCTACCAAGGTCGTCCACCTTTGAAAGCTAGAAACCGTCGGCTTTCAAAACAGACGCTTCTCATCCAGCTGAATTCTGTTTGGCGTAGTGGGTTAAAGAGTGCGGAGTTTAATCTGGGGGGACCGGGTTTGATTCCCTGCACTTCCACATGCAGCTGCTGGTGGGACCTTGGGTCAGTCACAAGTTATTTTCAGAGCTTCTCTCTCAAGAGCAGTCCTCGAAAGAGCTCTCTGAGCCCCACCTACCTCGCAGGGTGTCTGTTGTGGGGAGGGGAAGGAGATTGTAAGTTGCTTTGAGACTCCTTCGGGTAGTGAAGGGCGGGGTATAAATCCAGTCTCTTCTTCTTTTCTTCTGGATATGAATGTCTAAGCAATAATGTGACTGGAATCCCTCCCCCCCCTCCCGCCACGGTTTTGGTTTCCTTAAATTCTGATGCAGTTTCCTCTTCTGTCAGACTGGTGATCCAACCTCACTGGGCGTGGTGGATGTTCCTTTCAGTAGTGATCTAACTTCCTTGGGCTGTAGCCGGTTCTGTTTCTTGTCCCTTTCTGGTTCCTCTGTGAGACGCAGCTGTGACACGGGAGGGGCCGGTGAGTTTCGCCTCTCATTTCTCACAGTGGCAGGGACGCGCATCTCCGAGAGTAATTTTTTAAATCTCTGCCTGCACAGCTCCCTCCCACGCAAAAGGTGTTGATTTATTTATTTTTTTAAAGAAATCTGATGCCCAGATCTTGGGGTGTGTGAGATTCTGTCATGAGAAAAATTTTGAGTTATCATGATCTCTGTCACACTCTGGGGAAAGACGAGCCACTGTGTCGTCCCCCCCCCCCCCCCCCCCTCCTTACTGTTGCTGCCACCACTTTGGGTAAAAGGCCAACTCCACAGGGGTGCCGTTGAGTAGCATGCCAAGGGGGTAGGCAGATAATTAAGGACTCGTGCAGGGGCTTTCAGGTTAAACTTTATGAGGCACAAACGCTGGGTACTACAAAAGGACAGGATCTAGGCATGTTAAACAAGAGAATTGCTAACTGAAGTATCTGAAGTGAGCAACGACTCAAAAGCTCCTAGGTAGGGGTCAAGGTCTCCCTTGCTCGAAAGCCAGTCGAATCCGACTCTAGGGATGCGGTGCTCATCTCCGTTTCCAAGCTGAAAAGCCAGCACTGTCCAAAGAAGTTTTCCGTGGTCACATGGCCGGCATGACTAGACGCTGAGGTGCACGGAACGCTGTTACCTTCCCACCAAGGCGGTACTTGTTTATCTACTTGCAGTTTCTTGCTTTCAAACTGCTAGGTTGGCAGAAGCTGGGAGCTCACTCGTTGGCAACCCCCGTGGTGGTGCCGAAGGTCCCCTTGTTCCGTTCCCAGTAGCATTTCCAGCAAAAAAGAGCCAGGTTAAGCAGGTGATGTGAAAGACCTCCTCCACTCAAGAATTGTTTCCTAATTGGTGTGAGAGAGAAATAGGTGTGTCTCCCCATACACTGTAAAAGCGGTCATTTGCATTGGCACCGAATGAGTCTTTCGCGGAAAGTGCAATGAACTTGTGGAACTGCCTGCCACTGGAGGTTAACGGCGGCCAGATGGTTTCAGAAAAAGGGTTTAGGCAGGTCTGTTGGCAGCTATTAATTGTGACACTGAAACGGAACCTCTGTGTCTAAATTCTGAAACACCGGGTATGAACCAGAGGGTGCAGGGTGTTGCTGCATTAACCTGCTGCCTGGAAACGTTTGGCTGACCACCGTTGGAGACTGGATGCTCAGCT